CATAAACACACACACCAAACTGGGAAAACCATTTTTTTATGGAGCTGGCTTTGTGCATGGTGGCATTGTCATTTTGAAAACAGGAAATGGTCTCCAAATTGTTAATATGGACTTCCTCCAGAAAAGCAATAAACAGTTTGTTCTTCAGAGCAAACCTGATTCTCTCGAGATGGATTAAACAAACAAGATAAAGTGTTTAATGCAGTTTCCCCTGGTGTCCAGCCTTTGTGCTAAGCTAATTTAGCCATCTATCATCTATATTAAACCTCTCAGGGGAACAGATGTGTCCACATACTTAAGGCAACCCAGGATAGATTATAATATTAGTATCAATATTGCACTATAAAAATACTCCACAATTCAAAGTCCTCCATTCAGAACTTTACTGAAGTAGTATGCATGAATCAGAAACTTTACTTATTTACTTAATGCATAAAAATTAAAAGTACTCATTGTGCAGAAAAATGGTCCCTGAATGAATGTGTATGAATTGCAGCTGTGCTAAATTACCAGTGGAGGGTCTAAATCTTCCAAACCTCAACTAATCACCATGGCAACCAGATCTCTCCAGAGCTTTAAGACTGTCAGGGGACGTCTGGTGTGTGTGTGTGTGTGTGTGTGTATGTGTTTGTTTGTGTGTGTGTGTGAGAGAGTGAGACTACTTATTTACATCACTCTGCATTCAGCTTTAAAGAGTTTTGAACTCTTGTTAAGATAGTTTTAATTGATTAGAAATGTCCATATTTGGGATTCTGTCTCCGTCCGACACCAGGAGGAAGAGGAGGAGGAGGAGGAGGAGGAGGTGGAGGTGTCACCAGCATATAATCAGACATGATTAGTTGCATTTCCATCTTTAAAATTGCTGCACACAGACAGCAACTGCACAGACCACCAACTTAAACGTTAACATACTTTTAGAGCCAACTTCCTTTGCCTCATACAACCTCCATCACTCCTCTTTTCATCTACGATCACGTATCTCATAAACATTAAGATTCAGGATAAGGGAGAACATTTGTGTGTGTGTGTGTGTGTCTGTTGGAGTTTCTCAGGCCCAGCAGCTTCATCGTGTCTCTGTTTAATTGGTGTATCAAATTTCTGTCTCACCCCACTTGTTTCCCAGAGGGATACCCCACAGTTCACACGCTCTGATGTATGTTCTTTAACCATAAAACGCCACAAACTGATGATACCTGGCTGTTAAAACACTTAAATATTTTCCTTAAGTAGATATTGCGTTCCCACTGGAGCTTTAAATCATTCTTTAAGCTGAAAATGCCAGAAATTCAAACATTAACATGTGCAGATTTAGTCTTTTTTTAATAATAAATTGAATATTTTTATGGGTTTTAGACTGTTACAAAACAAGTAATTTAACGCTTCTTCCCTTTGTTGCCAAGAGTTAGATTGGAGATAAGAAGATTGATACCGCTCTCATGTTTGTATGTTAACGTAGCTTAGCACAAAGACTGGAAACAGAGGGAAACAGCTAGCTTGACTCTGTCTTAAGTTAACACAGTCTGCATCTGTAGGTATAAGATAAGGCTTCCTACTAAAATAAAATCAGCATGTTCAGAGTATTTCTGGGGCTTGCTGAAAGGCATTCTGGGAAATTTAAGGAGGCAGGTTGAAAGACTGTGGAAAAAGGCAGTAAACGCCCAAAACTGATGATATCTGACTGTTTAAATACTTAAATATTTTCTTTAAGTTGACATTCCCTCTGGAGCTTTAATGGGCAGCTGTAGTGCTGGAATGTATTGTATATAGCAGCATGCATAATGTATGTGTGAGTGTGCATAGTACTCCACATGGAAAGCACCAGGTGCCTTCATGAACTGACAGCCACTAACTCACTGGAGTATAATGCTGTGGTGTGTTTACTTACCCTACTCGTAGCCCTGTGCAGGTCAGAGCAGCTGTCAGATGATAGTGATGAAAAGTGTAGGAAACACAGAGGGGGGGTTAACATGTATGTGGGAGAGTCTACAGGGCATTAATGATGAGATATTGACTAGTGGGTTGGACATGAACACACCATTTGGAAAGATGTTTGTGAGTCCAGATTAGTTTGCATGTTCTCTCTCCGCTAATAAGAATTCTGCTTTTTCATGTCAAAAATATACAAATTTACCAAGGAAATAAAGATTTGATACTTTTTTATTCTTTTCCAGTGGAGAAGGAAATAAAGAAATGTCATGGCACAATCAGCTTAGGCAAAAAAAAAGAAAGAAAACAAACTAAACAGGAAGTGTCTGTAATTGCTTTTGGTAATTGCTGCAAGGCTGAGCCACATGAGCTTTTGTTTAATTATTTTGCAGTGGGATTTCTGGTGTAGTTTCATTTTCATGCTTTGTGTATGAAAATACCTCTCCTGGTTGTCAGATAATAGCGAGGGCTCATTGTTTTCACCTAATAATGCCCACATTTTTTTAAGTAGAGCATTCAAAACTTCTTGTTTGTTGCTGCGGGAACTCGCTGTTCTTCATGTATAAAAATAATTACTACTATTACTATTACAACTAAGGTCTACAGGGGCTGATCGACCAGATTATTTTCTATTTTACACAAACAAGTTTGAGCACATAAATCACGATGTTTGGCTGTACACCACAGGGGATTTACTCGCACAGTAGGAGTTGGAATTAAACAACATTTCTGAATTTGTACACTGTTTGTCCAGCTTAACAGGAATTCATGATATGCCTTAAATCATTATGCATTACTTAGCATATCATTTGTTAACTTTTATTAGAACAGCTTCTCGGGGCTATTAACAGGACCAATTTGACTTTTCTATTACTGATTTGTGCCAGATAATAATAAGATAATCAACTTAACTCTGCGTTCAGACGAGTTAAGTGATCCATCTTAAAAAGTTTAACAAGTCAAGATTCACTAGATCAAGCTGTTAAGAGCCTTTGAAGAAAATCTGATGCACTTATTTTGTCCTTGTAGCCGAAACACTTCATCCGTGACAGCTGGCTTTCACACACTCCCCAAAAGCATCTGTTTCTCAGACCGGAGAATAAGCTTCTATTTGCACCCACTCCTGTTCAGTGTCCGACTGAAAGCATTTAGCACATATGCTGACAGCAGTAACGGTGTCGTATGAATGCACAAATGATCAAGATGTGGCAGTTTCCAAACCTCCAAATGTCATGCAGCGTGGGTGTGGGAGGTCTGAGGGCTGGAATGTGTAACAGCTGGATGTCTTAGCTTGGCAGATGAGGCGGGTAGCTGGATGATAGGGGTACACAGGGCAGTGTGGAGGAGGAGGAGGCGGCCTGGGAGAACAAGGGTATGCACGGGGGGATCCCACCCTCCTCCTATTGCCCATGAGAACCTGGAAGTGGTACATTTTCCGAGGATTTTCTCAGATGAGGCAATGGAGTCGGTCCCCCAGGAGTGGAGCTTAAGGCATCGATCCAATCAGATACGCCCTCCCCAGCTGCTGTCATCCCTCACACTCCTGCTGCTGTGAATCAAAATATATACATCGCAAAGTACTAGAAGGAAGGTTGAGTTTGTAGCACTGTACACAATATCACATGTCACTGTTTTGGTTTCTCATTGATGTGTCAGTATTGTGTAACTGAACACCACATTTTATCTAAAGCCTTTTCCTTTTTGTTGTTGAAACAGCAAATCAATTAATTTATCTTCTGCTGCAGGTCAGTGTCAACATTACCCTGATATTCCCACGTTGTCATCACAACAGCTGCTTTTAAAAAAAAGTCTCCACAAAGTCCACATGAAACAGAAATCAGAGTGCTATTACTAAGCTAAGCTAATTGCCTCCTGGTTCATAATGCACAGATAGGTGAGTGGTATTGGTCTTCTTGTCTAACTCTTGCCAAGAAAGCGAATATGTTATGTTATGTTATGTTATTATTCTATATTCTTCTAAGTTTTAAGCACATTAAATGCATGTTTGAAAGGAGTCTTAAAGGAGCAGCTTGTTCAGAGCTTTTAAGAGCAGTTATTAAAGGTCCAGTGTGTAACATTTAGAATGATCTATTGGCAGAAAAGGATTATATTATTCATAAGTATGTTTTCATTAGTGTATAATCACCTGGAAAATAAATCATTATGTTTTTATTACCTTAGAATGACATGCCTCGGGTCTCCTTCCATGGAGTCCGATATGTTGAATGATTCTACAGTAGCCCAAAATGGACAAATCAAACACTGGCTCTAGATAGGGCTGTTAGCATTTTTTGTGCATTTCACAGCCACTGTAGATTCTTGTTTACACTTCGAAGAGGAGGGTGAAGCTCCTGAGCTGTGATCTGCAAACCGCTAGATGCCACTAAATCCTACACACTGGACCTTTAAGTCCTGATCTACTAGCTGGTGTAGTGTTGATACAGTGTGCTGCAGAAAATCCTAAAGTTTACATAGTGGACCAGGATCCAAGTGTGATGTGTGTGTAAACTTGAAACACTGACAATGGACTTGAAGGGAAATAGGAGACAAGTAGGATACATCTTGTGTCCAGCAGGAAGACTTTTTGTGAAGTAACAACATCTGCATATTCATAGATTTAGGTATTTGTAAGGATTTTAATGTGGAAAATTACATAAACATATCAGACATTATTGTTCCAAGCAGACTACTGTATGTGTTGTATTACATGTCTGGAGGGGAAAAACCTGCAGTAAACAGTTTCTTAAATACTTGCTGATGGCTGCAGTTCAGTGTTCTTCTCAAGGACACTTGAGCTTAAGATTCTTGCCCATTTCGACATGGATGACGACCTGGAATTTAGACACAGAGCACAATGTGGACTAAACCTGTTTATTATGGCCTATATATATTTAAAAACTCCATATTTTACTGAGGTTATTTCTGTGCAGGACGGGTGTGTCATTGTGGTACCACAAATGCTTTCTCTTCATGCTGAAGTCTTGTCTTAGGGGACCCACTCATCAACTCACACAGGGGAGGAGTTTTAGTGTGTGTTGGGGCAACTCTGAGTAACCAATGACTTCCATCATCAGTGTAGCAAGCCTGCCTCCACACTTGGGTCTCCCCCTTGTCCATGAGTGCTTTTTCATGAGGGAGGTTGCACCGGGAGATCTAGAGGGAGGGTCTCTGAGTGTGAGCAGAGTTTTTATGTCTCTTTTTTCATTCAGTGGATGCTCAGTGGCCCCTGAACAGCTTGGATTTAACCGTTGACCGGCTGGCTAACAGGTGGCGTTTGGGGAAACAGTGTGAGCACTGTGTGGAGTGCTGCTGCACGCTGAGACACTTTGAGGTGCTGTTGCAGGAGCCAGCAGCATGTTGAGGATCCAGACGTGGTTGCTTGTCCTGGTTCTCTGTGCTGGGAACTTGGAAGCCTGGTTTTGGCAGAAATACGATGAACGAACCACAGAGACCCCAATGGAGACAGGAACTACAGGTGCCACCACGCCAGCAAAAACAACAGGTGCCACCACGCCAGCGGTGATGACAGGTGCCACCACGACAGCCAATGCCACAAAGAATAAGAAGAAGGAAGAGGAGGAGGATGACAACCTATCCGGGGTTGGGGAAGAAATCATCAACGTGGCCACGGGAATCCGTAAGTTTGTCGAGGCGTGGGATGCGACCCCGACCCCGACCACCAGGACTACTAACGGAGGCCTGACAGAGAAGGTGGAGAGCGCTAACCCTAACACGACGGGTAATACAGACAGATTCAAAGGGATGGGGGTGGAGGAGGGGTCTGGGATCAGGGTAGGGGATATTTCAGGATCCAGGGCTGATCTTGGGTCAGATGTAGAATCAGTGGTGGTCTTGAAAGGTGATGAATTCCTGCCTAGCAATTTAACCAGGATTATAGGTGATGTTTTAAAAATCAATGGGACTGTTGAGGGTGTTTTGAATTCCACGCCAACTCCCTCTGATAGTCGCATCAATGGTTCTGATCCACATTGTCTCCCTGTGCCTTCTGATTGGTCAGTCTGCTCTGGCAAACAGCCAAAATTTTTCACATTGCCTAACTTTTTTAACCACACATCTGTGGAGGAGGCGGGGGCGGTCTTACAGGAGTGGGCGTGGCTCACGAGGGAGGGGTGTCACCACAGCACAGAGTGGTTCCTTTGCCTCCTGCTGGCACCCAGGTGCCATTCCCCTACCGCGCCCCCACACCTGCCCTGTCGCAGCTTCTGCCAGGTGCTGCAGGACAGCTGTTGGGCGTCTCTGGAAAACGGGCGTCTCCCAGTGGAGTGTCACCTCCTGCCTGAAAGAGCGCAGGAGCGCCCTGCGTGTGTTTCAGTTAGTAACTGGAGAGGTAACCCCCGGCGGGTTAGAATGTATCCTGTTTGGTCATACATTTTGAACCCCATGTCACGTCACTTCTGTCGATGTTTAAGCCTTGGTCTGTGTGTGTGTTTGTGCGGTGTTTTGTTTTGGTAACACAAATGTCCGAACACATTTTTGCTTTGATATCTTTGCCCATCTGATGATTGGTTTTGCACGCTTTAGCCATTTTTAATGCAAGCTGACCATTTTTCAAACTATGTTTTTAAATGTTTGAAAACCCTTATGACTTTACATCGAAATAATATAATATTGTGATGCAACCAATTTGTGTAGCTTATTTAGTTACAAACTAACTAGTAGTCAACTTTACACCCTGACTTAAAGGTCCAGTATGTAACATTTAAGGATCTATTGTACAGAAGCAGCCTGTCCTCATTCCCAGGTCGTCAAATATGGATGGTGAACGATGAACGGTAGTTTCAACTCAAAGTAGACATGATGTTCACTGTGATAATAACTCAGGCATGTTTCAAGTCTCTGCAAGTTGAATTTCCAAAACATACTGACATAAGTGGATGCATTTAACTGATTGACGCCTGGAAGGTGGAAAATGGTTGCCAGTAATGTAAAGTATAAATAATCTGCAAATAATGGGTTCAAACGTGCAAAACCAGCAGTATGGTCACTGCTGTTGTCGCTACTGTTGTGGTGTCTTTTTCTGTTCGCTGAGGAGGTTGTTTAGCACGAATGCATGACGCCAACACCTGAGTTCACATCACTGTCCCAGGCTGCATGCCACCTCCATGTGATTGTCTTGGTGCAGCACTGCATCTGCAATAGCAACGTTTTTGTGTGATAAGTCAGCAATGGTCAGCAACAGCAACGTTACAGTTTCTTTAAAACCTTTACAGCTTTTATTTATGTTACTAAAATCAAACAGAGACAGCAATGCAAAAGGCAGCAAAGTCCATTCTGGGTGCATCAAACACATGAACACACTTCATTTATATCAGTGGTTCCCAACCTTTTTGACCCCTTTTCTATCATTTAGTAAACTGACTTAAGTGACATATTTTATGCATATTTCATAATATATTAAAAACTGTACAATTAACCCAAAAAGTGAACTCAATTAGTTGAGCAGATTATGTCCTGAACTTTTTATACTAATTTATAACAATTATATAAATAGGTTTCTTTTTTTGACAAATTCTGTGTTTTCTTCATCCCCGATGCTTGGCCATTGTTCTATTAGACAATTTACTTTACATTTACTTTTCTTTACAGACGTGAACCAAATGCTGAGATATAGCCTCACTGTACATGTATTTTAAGTTTTCTAGCACGCCTTAAATGAAGCTGTTGGCGACCCCTAGTGGGGGGTCCCAGGTTGGGAACCACTGATTTATATTAAGAAAAGCGTTGGAGTATATATGATATACACAGTTGTTAAGCTCTCCCCTTGAGTATTAACCCTTAAGACAGGAAATACTTTAGAGGCCCATGTCCATCCTTTCAGTATAGCTTCATAAACTGTGCACTATGGAGTCTTCATAATGAGAGAATTGCTGCTGTATAGACTCGTCTTTCAGGGGTTAACATTGTGAACTTAAAACCCTCGTTATCTTATGTTTTCCCACAGGAACATTTAATGTAAATGTTCCAAGTTTAAGTGGCAGATAGTTTTGTTATTTTCCATATGCCACAAGTAGCGTTCTTGTTTGGATAACCTTTAAACTCAGACATAAACCATACGCAGATATGTGTGCAGATCTAACGTGTCTACCCTACAGTAGACTCTTAGTGGACGCTCTTTACATTATGCTGCTGCATTATGTGCAGTACAGGATATGAAACATCAATGTTCTTGTCGTTAGACTGTTTTTATTGGGTGTGAAACACCTGCATTGGCTACCTCAGTCACAGATGTTTCGGGTCTTGAAGATGATTATTTTTTAGTAGATGTACAACATGTATTTATTCTAACTTTACACTAACAGGATGTTTTATCAGTGGTTTTAATTGAAATAATTCTCTCTATGGGACAAGGGAATTGGTGGTTTCATACATGCAGCTCTCACTATCACTCTGTCACAACCTACTCTTGCATGCCGGTCACGCATTTCTGTCCTGGGTTATCTACTTCCACTATTTCTGATCAGCTGATGTGGAATTTTGTGTGGATTTAGAGGCGAGTGGCGTTTTAGCATCCAGAGTCACACTGAGGGAAACAATTGGGCCATCTGTGGTGGGGAGGATGGGCTGTGGATGGCATTTATGATAGAGGCTGTGGGAGGGAAAAATGGTCCACTGCGAAGAAAGAGTGTGCGATTGTGCGATTGTGCGCTCAGTTTGGGAGAAAGGGCAACGGTGTCGTGGTAAATAACAAGAGAGCCTTGTGACTGGGAGGAGACAGGGCGGCTCGAAGTCTCTGCCAGAGGTCAGAGGTTCCCAGCCAGTTGCCCACCCTCTCAAACCAGTACCACTTAATGGGTGGTAATCAAGTGTTCGTCCAACCATTAGAAGATAAGCAGAGACAGAGAGTGGGTTAAAGTGTGAGAGAGACTTTTATGCGAGCGGGGAATTACCCGCTCCTAGAAGAAAAGTGGTTTCCAGTCAGTGCACAGTATTATTCAAAAACAGTTTCAAGCTGCATATTGGGCCAATGTACAATTTTATATTAATCAGAGTCCTTCCTGTTTGCCTGAAATTAGCTTTTTTTTTCACTTAGTGGCGAGCTCTTGCAGCCACAGCAACAGAAGCAAAGATGGAACAAAGGCTTTTAGATTTAGTTCACTAGTCTGTACTTTTGGAAACAGCTTGCCTGGCTCTCTCCAAAGGTAACAGAATCTGCCTACCAGCTCCTACAAAGCTCATAAATTAACTTATTGTATCTTGTTTGTCACCGTGGGCTTGCCAGCAGGGACACCAACCAGCAGCATGACCTTTGGACACAGCTGTTTGGAAACATAGGGATGTTGTTATGCTAAGCTAAGCTAACTAGCCACCAACTCCAGCTTCATATTTAGCATACAAATAGTAGAGTTGTATCAATGTTCTCATATGTATTGTACATATATATATATATATATATATATATCCCAAAATATTTAATTTTTAGAGACTAAAAGTCAGGACTTCTTGGCCTCTGCTGCTTTCGATGGTTCCATGTTTCAGAAAAAAAAGAAATAAGAAATAGTATATTAGATATATATATTTAAGTTTTAACAGGGAAATGAAAATAAAATATGCACACACTCCTCCAGCTGCTTATAGCTGATACCTGCTACAACTCACGTTTCTCTACACTGCCCAAAACCCTTTACATTTAATCTGGACTGCAGCCAAGAAACCAGACTATTTCAAATCACGATGCTCTTAGAAAAGTGAGATGGGAACACAAAAAAAACCCAGCTGAGTCGCCCACTGATCCCTCATCAGTCAACTTTAATTTGCTCTCAGCTTATTCAAACATGGATTATGGTCTGACTGGGGAGCAGTGGGAGGCTGTAGATGTCTCAGCTGTCACAGCAGTTGAAGCGTCAACTGATGCCACTCTGCTTTTTAGATGTGTCCAGTTGGTTTAGTCCCAAGAGGCTTGGACTAGAGCTGGGGGTGTTAATAGTTGAACCCACTGGTTTAATTGGAAGTGGGGGGTCACTTTCATTCCAAGACACTCTTTGAAATGTTTCTTAACTTGTTTTAAAGGACTAGTGTGTAGGATTCAGTGGCATCTAGTGGTGAAGTTGCCAACCAACGGAAACCCCCTTATCTCATCCAAGTGTGTAGGAGAACTCCCACATTTTCTATTTATTTTTTGGCAACAGCTTTCCTGCAGAAGTATTTCTGTCCCAAACATAAATTATATAAATAGTATTTTGTTAAACTGCAGCAAAAAGTAATGGAAAAAATATTTGCGGGTTTTCTCTCTGACATCCTCCAGCTACACTGCCTCAACTCATCAGTTTCCTGATGGATTTTCTATTTATTTTCAATGTATTTTTACTTTAATTAAATTTTCTTATGCTAAAGAAATATAAATAAAATGATCAATACGTGTGTTTGATGTGTTTAGATTATTCAAGGTTTTTATACTAAATATTATGTAAAGTTCTGGAATTGCTAAGGTTTAGTATAATTACACTGAATAATTTAAGTGATAAATGTGCACATACCTATGAAAGTTATATCACATTTCTGCCAATAGATCCTCCTAAATGTTACACAGAGAAGCAGACTGTCTGAACTGTATAAATACCTCAGATTCTTTAAAATGTATAATTAAATTAGTTTGTTTTTGCAGTGCTTACTTTTCCAAATAAGGACTGCAGCTTTCAGATGGAGGTAAAGCAAGTTCTGGTTGTGGCATACTTTGATAATGGTGTAATTTTCCTCCAACATTTGGCATGCACAAGTACC